AGTAGCGTCCTTGCTCCTAGTAGCGATGCCAGGAGCCCCTAGTAGCGATGCCGTTGCTCCTAGTAGCTTCTTGTTCCTAGTAGCACTCCAGCTGGTCTGCAGCTAGTTAAATACCTTCAATTGACATAGATTGAATGGGTCGCTTGCGTTTGCACTCTTCTAAGGCTGCTGCAGAGCATTTTGGTTGCGCTTGGTTTGAGGGTTTGTCTTCAACCTTTCCAATTTATTGTTGCAACGAAGCCACAAACACGCACCACAGAATGCACAAACACGCCGAGGTCAGATTCTGATGATTGTGGCTAGGCGCCCAGGCATACTTGACTTGGTCTATCCTTTTTCCTCTCTGTTGAGCGTGAGTCTTCCGGATGGCAAAGGTCTCAAGATGAACCCAGATGTGTGAAAGAGTTTAGGAGCTTCGGGTAATCGAATCCTCATTTGCTGCTCAAGGTGCAGATCTCTCAGAGAGGCGTGGGGTATTTGGGGATTCTTCTCAGAAACAGCCTCGTATGGTGCACTACTTCCTGAGGCTGGTGACCTATGACCATTTTAGTGCCCAGCAGCCTGTGGGTTATCCAAGTCTGCCAATGACACCTGCTTGCAATGAGGGCTTTCTACCCTGTGAGCAAATACTGGGATACATGGCCATGTAAAGAATGTCCAGCGAAGTTCGGAATTCTCAGCAGCATATGAGGCCTGAGATGGGCATGCCCATGATGGCACCAATGATGGCTGCTTTCTTGCAGAATCAGTTGGCAAAATTATTCTGATTCAAAAGGCCTCGGGCAAGTCTGCTCGTAGTATTTTGTGGTCAACTAAAAGTCAGCTCGTGACTCAAACCAAGAGATTGTAGTGACCTAGTATTCAACTACTCTTGGCCTTTGCACCTGAGAAGACATTGTGGATTCAACGTGTTCAGTTCTGCATCGGTGGTTCTTTGCGTTTCAGAACGAGCCTGGCCTGGTGAAGCTTTGCTCTTTGCGTTTCAGACAAAGTATTTTGCCCTCCCATTTCACCTCAATGGGGCTGGTCAGGCTTGGTCCAATACTATAGACCTTTGGTTTAAATAACATAATTAAACAATAGAACCCTTGTCATTGATGATTTGTTTGTTCATGTCCTCATCCATGCGTACTATGTATGTATCGCAAGTTCTTATTTAAAGCACAGGCTGTCTCAGCATTGTGTTTGTTGTTGAGATTCTTAGGTTGGAATGCAGATGGGATCTGATGGCTTGGACTACAGTCGCTCGGCATCCCTCTTGATGGTTTCAGGTGAACGGAAGTCCAAGACTCCAGTTCCTTTAAAGACCATTGAACAAACTCGTGCGGGCCAGCGCAATTGAACCAAGGCTGGCCAGATCAATCCCAGGCGCGAGACGGAGGAACCAACGCGGTCCGTGTTGCCAGGTCTGTCAGGTCCCCTTTGCCCAGTCGAAACGCAAGCTTCGAAGTGAGTCCTGCAGGCTCCAAATTCCGAAGGGCAAGGTCCACCATTTGGAATGCTGCACAGCTTTCATAAGGAGGCCGAGAGGAAGCATCTAAGAAGAACATGGTCGAAGGTAGCTGAAAGCTTTGTTGTTGCCAAGATCTTCTGCTTGATCATGTTTGACACTCTTCTTCCTGTTGGACCCGAAGAGACGCAAGCTGTTTAGAAACACGGCTCCGGCCGCAGTGGATGAACAGGTGCGAGGCTTCGGTTGGGCCAGTGCAGATCTACGGCAGTTTACAAAGGGTCAGGCTTGAGATGGATGGTGAGCTGAAATTGGTTTGAACATGTCGGAGTAGTCTGAATGGTGTTTGAGTAGTCGTTTCAAAGGCAAGGGTCTGCGCCTATGATTGTTCCAACATGTTCCAACTCTTCCGGATTTATTGACTTTTATTGGCAGTAGTTCGATGAGAAACGGAAGATGCAATTCTTGACGCGACCACTGGCAGGATTATGAAGGCAGGCTATCCGTCATCTCGGGCTCGGAGGTTCAGCGTGGAGGTGTAAGGATCCTTAGTGCTTCAGTCTTGCACCATGCTCATCGGTGCTCTTGTTCTACATGGGGGTTCACTCCCACTCAGGTGCAAAGTTACTTGATGCAATTCTCCTATGGGGAGCTTACCAAAGCTGATGGGATTGGATTTGTGCTCCTTGGTGCAACAAGCGCTGTGCAATGTGCCCGGGACAATTGGTTCATGCACCCAAATCATTGTTGAAGACACATTTGCCGTGCTTCCTTTCATAGTGAAGTGACCCTCAGGTTTGCATCTCGTGTTCCATGTGCGAAAAATATTCAAAAGATTGCGGCTTGGCTCAGTGACCATGTTACAAGTTCAAAAGGTTGCCATTTAGCATAAAGGTGGACAGGTGGCCGGTGGCCAGCACAGGTTCAGGTTGCTCACAACTTAAAAGCGAAAAACTGCTAACCAAACATATCAAGATCACTCACGATCAAGTGCCACACTGCATTCGGGCTACACACTGCTCGATATTCAAGCTCGGTGTTGGGCACACTGGACCATCAGACGGTCAGCAGATGTTGCCGTCATGTATTCTTGGCAACTTCAGCGTCCTTGCTCCCAGTAGTATGGCCAGGAGCCCCTAGTAGCGTCCTTGCTCCTAGTAGCGATGCCAGGAGCCCCTAGTAGCATCCTTCTCCACACAATTTAGGTCTCCGTCTTCGTGAATCAACGAGGGCGTATTTGTATGCGAGTCTTCGGCGACATTCTCAAAGCCAAGAAGCACGTCAGAGCCCTGCAAGTTGGCGACTGGATTGAGATGGTGATTGATTTGGAGAGCCTTGAGCGGGATTCAGTGTGAGATCAAAGTCGTTTCATTCAGGATGTAAGGGCCCCATTCATGAGCCGAAGTTGATTCTCGTTTCATGGCTATAATTGCCAGAAGCCTTGAACAACCCCTGACATTTCAATCCATTGCTTGCCTTTACGAGACTCGTGCCGTGAGTCGTGACGGAGTGAATTCCTTCCAATTCAATGCAATGGGTGTTGCCATCCTGGCAACACTGAGGAATAGTATTGCCACCTTCAAGGTTTGGCCTTATGAGATGGCCTCTAGGCAGCATAGCGACATAGTAACGTAATTTATGATAGGTAATTAGAGTGGTCTTGAGGCCTTGTTGTACATGACATTTTGTTGCAATGTTACGAAGTCGTCATCACTAGAGTTGTTCCCTTAGCAGCATCGCGCCGTGGCTGCACGCGCGTGGCAGCACGCGCATGGCAGCTCGCGCATTGCTTTTTGGTCATTTTGCATTGTCAAGATCCAATGCTTGCGTGTTAAGGTTGCTTCTGGCTATATGACCGAGCCAGAATCCGTTGCAGAATTTCATTACGGGTTCCTTGACAACGAGCAGGAAACTAGCAAATCCATGCAAATCCAGCATTTCTGAGTGTCTTCGAGTGCCTTGCAGCTCCTTGATTTCTTTGCCCCAAAACCTTGGAAACACGGGGCACCAGGAATATGGAGCATTTTGCAGTCTTTCAGGCTCACGGATGCTCATGTTTCAAAGATGGGGATCTCAGGAAGCGTTTGGCGCAAGCCCAGCAATTGTCGGCCAAGCCTGCGATCAGCCCAGTGGTTCTTTGAGGTTTCAACATGTCCAGTTTTGGTCGTGTTCATTGATCTTTGCAAACTGACCACTTTCTTCGACGTCCCTCACACCCAGGTGAAGCTCAATGTGGGGCACTTCGCTTGCGTGATTCAGAATGTGGGGGTCACTGTAACTTGGCTGACGTTCGGCTTCGGCCGCTTCGGTTGTTTTATCTGGTCAGACTACCCATCTGGCTTCTTGACACGTTGGCAAATCGCATGCCCTGCATGAACATTGAAGTCAGAAGTGCTTGCACATAGCTGCTCTAAGTTTTGAAGAGGACATGCAAGGAAATGCGTTTAACTTGCAATAGTGAGGTCTCCATGGGTTCTTGATCATCACTGACTCCAAGAAGCGGCTTTTCGCTGTGAAGGCTGAGCAGCTAATTCACTGCACCAAGTTTGGTTTCACCTGAAGTCGTAGCACCTCTTCTCTGGTGCTTTTTCCAACAGAGATCAAGTGTACAGCTCTGAACATCCTAATAGTTGCCGGAGCAACATATACCGCTTCCTGGAACGCCCTCCAGCTTGCAAAAGGCTCAGCTGAATGCGATTCGATCTAGATGCCTGCAAGCTCGATTCACTTCAGAGAGCTGTGAGATTTGGGAGGATGCTGATGAGGGCCCTAAGCCAGTCAACGGTTTGGAGGCCGGAGATTTGTGAGATTTCCTTGTGCGCTCTGCACCTGTGCACCACTCATGTCACTGAGCTGCTGATGTTGGATGTGAGTGCTTCGGAGGCTCCTAGGTCTGGCCGCGCTGTCGACGTGGTTCGATACCTGTGGGAAGAAGCTCAGTGGGATCCGGTGCCGCACCCACCCTTCACTCGCTCTCTTCTTGCAATTTGTTGGGCTGAGGTCATGTTTGATTATGTTTCATGCTTTTTTCTGTTCTAAGTCATGGTCAATTTATGACGAAGGATTTAGAGCATTATACCTGGATATGGAAGCTTTGGCTCGAGCTTGCCAAGCGCCTGGCAAATGGCGAGGCCCAAGGGACCTGATCTCAGAAGAAATTGATGAATTCTTTTGGAAGAAACCGCTCATCAAATATGGTTCTGTGCTTTGGGGTCCTTCCTCACTAGTATGTTCGGTTGAACATGCTACCATAAAGTTTCAAGCCAAGCACATATAAACTGCATCAATTAAAGCATTGCAAGATAGGGTGTGACCTCACAACATTCAACGCATCACTCGGTGAATCTCGACTGCTGAACATGCTCCTTTTTGGATGACGCCAGGGCGGGAAAGCGAAAACGACGAAGTAAGAAGGTCGATGTCAGCAAGGCCAGTCAACAAGAAGCTACTACTTATAGTAGCTCCATGTAGCTCCTGGCAGTACTACTAGTAGCAAGAATCTACCAGTAACAAAGGGCATCGCTACTAGTAGCATAACACCTTGTTACTAGTAGCTTCTTGCTCCTAGTAGCGATGCCATCTACCTGGTGTGTGCAAGCACAATCTGACGGATGTACATACAGTAGATTTGTCCAACGTTGCAGTCGATCATGCAGCCTGGCAATGAAGTATGTCTTTTGTTCACTTTGCACCCTGAAGGTCCAGTTCAAAGTCACAAAAAAGCGCGGGAAGACCATAGTTACGCCTGCCTCTTGGGTGGGACAAGCATCTCAGCATTTGCTTGAATTGCTAGCAGTATCATCATGAATCATGGTATCGATATTCTTGTCATTCCAAGGGACTCCAAAGTTGAAGTTGTTTTACTTTATGGGTCATTGTGCCACCAAGGGCAGAGAAGCACCGTGAGCGGTCAAAGGCAACTTCACACGCCATAAAACTTGGAATCGCTGCTGGACGCCCCAACAGTGCTTTGCTCTGGGACTCTGAGCCAGGCTGAAATCATCGAGGAAATCCAAAAGTTGAAAGAAGCCAAGTGCATCACCGAGTGTTTTCTTGTCTTGTGAGGCTTACTATACGAACATGTACGAAAACTATTTCAATCAACAACAGTGGACTACGAACCTCTCAGTTATTTCGTGTTGCATGCAGGCAAGCCTCTGCAAAATCAAAAGCTAGACGAAGGAAGCAGCCAGAGAAACTTGGACAGCAGAGACAGCAGTCGTTCCTCTGGATGGGTTTATAGATGTTTATCGCGCTTTGTCTATTGGCTCTCAAACATCGGTGTTCGCCTAGGGAAAAGTTAGCTCCTCGCTACCGGACGCTACTAATTACATAGCTTCCCCCGCCTGAGGGAGCTTCCTTGAAGAAGCGCTCGCACTGATGATTTGGTTCCTAGATTTTTAGGGACACTTAACATCAGTTCCTTTTCTTGTTGCTTTTTGCATTGTCTTTTTCTTTATGGCTTTTGCTGAGGCCCATCAAGAATAGAAAGGAGCCCTTGTCTCAGGATGTCAATTGCATTCCAAGCTTGAATGACCTAGAGATCTGCTGTCTGAAGAAGTTGCAAGTTGCTCAGCCTCAATTGATACCAGGCTGGACTATCTTCCTGTTGAAGCTGGGATGCGAAAAGATCATGAGGTGAGAGATCTACCCGGATCTACTAGGAGCTAATGAACAAATCTAAAGTAGGAAGCCTCAGGTCGCTTCAAGAACGCCCTGCGTTCTTGTTGCTAGCTGCTACTAGCCAGTCACTTCCTGAAGCTACATCTTGTTCAGGGACCCTTTGACCCTTCGCCTCAGGCCAAGTTGGCTCAACGCGAAGCGACGCGAGCAGCGCGCGAAGAGCGTCGCGCCAGGAGACCGTGCGAAGAGCGTCGCGTCGTAGGTGGAGGGACAAAGGCTTCAGGTCGTCCCCAGTCACCCCGATTTGGTTGAAGTTGAATATGTTGAATGCATTTGAATGCTGTTCAGGTCAACATGAATGCCATGATGCTAGACTGGACAAGATCAATCGCACACAGCCGTTGTAGTTCTTCTCCGGGTGCTGTATGCCTCTTGAGACTTTTTGTTGACATGGTCTAGCTCGTTATAGCTCGTTGAATTGATTCCTACTACTACTACTACTACTACTACTACTACTACTACTACTACTACTACTACATAAATGGTGTGAGATTGGATTCCAGCAGTGGTGAGGAGACAGCTGGCTCGAGAACAGAAAGAGAGGTGCAAGCCTTGTAGACCGTGGCCAATGACAACTGCAAAATGCAATGGTTTGTTGCAGCCTTGCCGAGACAGGCTGGGCAAAGAAGAGGTTTCCCTTCAGGAGAAGTATATATTTAGAGCTTCCAAGCCTGTTGGTTCCACATGCTTGGATCATACACATCCATGCCATAGTTGCATGATGTCTCATGCATGCCGCGCGTGGTTGAAGCAAAAACATGCCGGATGCTTCACTCAAACCTTTGGACTCTGGACTCGAACGCAGGACGTCCTTGGGGGCGACTTCTTCGGAGCTGACGGCGTTGCACCCGATTTGGAGATGTGACGTCCCTGACATCTGCAGAATTGGACGGAAATATCTTAAGCCTTAAGGTAGTTTGTGCTGTTAGAAGCAAATGCTTCAAGGTCTACAGAGTCGTTTCTGTTCGCAGTTCGAAGAGTTTCTACGTGTTTCCATCGTCCATATCTGCGAAGTTAATGAATGTTTAGCCGATCAGGCATTGTACAAATGTGCTGCGCAAAATTCGCAGTAGGCTAGAGCAGCAAAGCTGCATTATGAGTGAAAAGGGGTGCCGGCGGCTTGTAGAATTCCAGGGCTGCTAGATTTAGTCATGAGCATACAGTATACAATCAATCTCATTTTCAACCCCTCCGCATAGACCTGGACACCCTACTGTATTAATAGGAGGTGCTTGTGTCTACTACACCCTCAAGTTGTTGTGCACTGATCCACGGACTTTTCGCTGGTGAGATGCTTGCAGGCTCTTTCGACTTTGGATAGCATAGGATTAGGGCGCCAATCATAACAAGAAGCTACTAGGAGCAAGGGCATCGCTACTAGTAACAAAGGGCATCGCTACTAGGAGCAAGAAGCTACTAGTAACTAGGAGCTACTAGTAGCGATGCCCTTTGTTACTAGTAGCGATGCCCTTGCTACTAGTAGCTTCTTGTTACTAAGATTGGTGCCCTAATCTTATGCGGAGACCTTTCTCCACAGTTGATCATTCACATACAGCCATCAATTCAACATGTGACAATATCTAAAGCCCTTGCTGTAAAACGGGCATCATTTATTTGGTGTCCTTCTACTTTTTCTGAAGGAGCTTGCTGCGCAGGTAGATCCAGTTGAGAAGATCATGTCACAATTCAGTGAGGATGCAGTTTACGAGGACAGGGTCACTCTGGGCTTCAGAGTTTAGGCACTCCTCACTGCAATTCTAGGCAAAAAGAACATATATTGGTGGACTTGCAGATATCCTGTTCAATTATCGATGGTTTCGTTTTTATGAGCTTCAACACAGGCCAGAAAAGAACTCCAGTGCTCTCGACTGGATGGAGTTTCCTGAAATCCAACGCCCTCAAATTTATTTGAACACCTCCCGATTGTAGTCATACGTACCATATTCATTCATATCCATAGTCTCCAAAAACATACGGCGAGTTCAAGCAGGAGATCTGTGGTTCGGCAGCTGTGGCTGTGGCAGGACCTCACTCGAGAAGACCCTGCTTTTGTGGGCTGGGAAGCTATCAAGAAGTCAGCAGTCTCAGCTACCTTGCGACGCGCGGAGTTGTCACTGATATGCCAAACAATTCCGGTACTGGGTACCGGTTTTAAGTCATCTGGTCGTTTGTAAGTCGTCTGGAAATGTTTGGAAGATGCGTGGCCTTACAGGATCTGTTTCTCGATATACTGTTGAACTTTGTTATCCCTGCAACGTGGGATCTGTGGATTCCTGCAACTCGCGCGACACTGTTCATGTAAGATAATAACCAACATTTAAGAACTAATGTTTAAACTCAAATTCTCCCTAAATGCCCCACATTCTTTTTAAATGCATATTTAAGGTTTCTTGTTTCTGAAGGACAAATGACTTCAGAGCACTACCTGGAGTAAGCATGGCCATGGTGATTCAAAACTGGTGAAAACAGGTGACTTCCTTCCCCAAATCAGTTTGGCTGTGGTGAGGCTAAACATGCCCAGAAGGTCCGACATTGCAGAATCAGGGAAAACCACACTTCGGGCTTGTGGGAACTGTGTGCTTGTAATACTTATCCAACAGTCTATATATTCAGATGACCAGGGTATGCTTAAGTTCCCCGATTTGTTTTTGGCATTTTTTGACTACTTTCGGCCATAAATGTCGGGCACGGCGGGTGGCGTGTGCGCTGGCGCGGCTAGTTGGGTCTACAAAAAGGTGTGGCACGGCGGGGGTCAAGTGCACTGGCCCCGCTAAGTCGGTTAAAGTTATCTGTGGCACGGCAGGTAGCGGGTACGCAGGCACGGTTAGATCAGTTCGAATAAACCAGCGGCGCGGCGGGTGGCGTGCGCGCAGGCACGGCTAGACGGGTTTGGACACATCCACGGCACGGCAAGTGGCATGCGTGCAAGCACGGCTATAGATGGGTTCGGGTGCATTTACATGGTTTGTGCCGTTGATCCGTGCCGCACTTTCCATGGTTTTGTGCCCTGATCCGTGGCTTCAAAATCTTGGTGCGGCAGGGTCCGTGCCACACAGCAAGCCACTGTCCGTGCGACTTATTGGGGGCGGGCGCTTGCTATCCTCAATCCGTGCCTTGGGTGATGCCAAGGGTCGTGGCCCCAAACCTGGGGGGGTGTTAAGCATACCCCGGTCTATTTAATCTATTATATATATATATACAAAGCTTTGGTAATTAGTGCTTCACTTCTACTAGGTTGGAGACCATCGCTATTATATAGGTTGGAGGCGATCGCAATTAGGTTGGAGACCATCACAATTAGGTGGGAGGCCATCACAA